AAATAGTGAGGAGTGAACGTTGTGCCATCACGTCGGGCCCTTCTCGTTAGAATCAGAAGTACCTAAAACCACAAACATAAATTGTAAGCAAAAGCTTAGTGAGTTTCCCCAAAGTACCACATACCACAAATAAATAAGTTAGTGCTATGGGACAAATCATAGTCCTGCAAGTAATTTCCTGTCGAGAGCCAAATCTCGGTCTTTCATACAGTTGCCAGGGGCCGGAACCACGTCTTTCATACAGATGTCAGGGGCCACACCCTGGTCTTTCATACAATTGCAATGGGCCAAATCCTGGTCTTTTATACACATAGCACAAATATAGCTCACATCCTATATCACAAATAATGGGTCGGCTTTGGTGCCTTCGACCCATTGATACAGTGAGAAAACTCACATCAGTCTGCTGATAGATAACTAAATGCTCGGCTACCGAACCGGAAGATCCCTCACTGAACACAAAAAAATCATTCTAATCAGAAATAGGTTATAAACCATAACCGTGGGCCTAAAGCCCAAATCCAAACCCTTAAGAAAAAAAAAGGCTATTTTGCCATTCTCATAATGGGCCTAACCAAAGTTGGCCCAATAACACAATAATGAACCCCAAGGCCCAAAAAGGACCAACTCATGCAACAAACAGTCCAAAGCCCAAAATTAAACGGCCCAAACTCCAACAGCTGGTCCTTACGTCGTGACCAGCTCATAGTCACGTCATAAGCACCAACTCGACCCAGTCCCGACTCAGCGAGTCAACTCAACCCATAAATACGATCCAATCCTTGTCACGTCGTGACCACACCCTGAGTCACGCCGTGACCTAATCCGGACAAAATAGTAGGGATGGCTAGTATTCTCACGACGCGACAGGCTTAATCCTCACTTCGTGAGATCTGTACTGACCAACTTTGAGCATTAAGCTCTTATTCCTTACAACCATATCTCGGGACTTTCCAGAGGGTCTTCTCTTACCTAAAGGATGATAAAAATTGTAGCTTTTTCAGGCATGCATGTCCAATGCATGACTCAAACTCTTACTAGGCCAAAAGGGAGAAAAATGATATCTAGACTCATGCTTGGAGTCTCAAACTATACCAAAACTCATATCCAAAGACTATCTTATAGAGAATGACTCAATGATCCATAAAGTTGCCAACTTTATGGATCCCAAGCATACAATCCAATACAAACATGCAAAAAGGAGCTTAGAACTTAGATCTAGCATGCAAAAGGTAGAAAGGTCAAAGCTTTGAGAGTTACAATGGTCCAAAGCCAAGAGATTGCAAGGTAGAAGCCAAAACGCCAAGAGGTTGCTTAACCAAGGTCTTCTTCCACTTCAAAGAGTCAAAAACCACCAGAGAATGCTTCAAGGATCTCAAAAATGACTAAGGACTTGAGGAAGGGTTGATATTAGGGTTTTCAGGAGGCAAAAGAGTGCAGGAGGCTAATGATGGGCAACCTTAGCCATCTTTTTCCATTAAATAACCAAAATATTAGGGTTTGGATGTCCAGCCAATCTCACGCCATGAGCATTCAAAGTCTCACGTCGTGAGAATCAAAATCACGGGTCAACTAGTCAATGGGCATTCACGACATGACCATCATGTTTCACGTCGCGACCTTCAATCAAATCTAAAAATTCAAGAATTTAAATACCTCCATGATCAGAGTTTTACACTATCTTCTTCAATCTGTGGACTTCTCAACTGATCCCACATTCCGTCGACATCACTGACCTAGCTACGATAAACCTACATCTCATGATCCCCTCTTCTCTGTTGAACATTTATCGACTCATTTCTCCCTATTGATCTCATTTCTCTCGATACCTATGAATATATAAAAAGGAGTAAAATCAACTGTTTTTTTTTCTTTTTGGAGGACCAAATCAATTTCATGCTCGAGAAGAAAGGCAGATGAATACTCGCACACACGCTCGCCGTAGAAGACCACGAACACCAATGGAAAAACAAGAAACCACTGGAGATCTCTCTCTCTCTCTCTCTCAACAGTCTAATACGGACACTCCCCCCCCCTCTCTATCTCTTTCAGATTTGCAGATTGAAGGCGGGGTTCGGGATCATAAGGGAGGGTGACGATTGTTTTAAATGGGTAATATGGAATGTGTGAGGGAATGAGACCAGCTCCATTTCGATGTCATCGACAACTGTAGGTCCATAGCAGGGAAAAACGACGAAGCTGATGTGGTCGACGATGAAAAGGAAGAGTAGAACATGGTTTCGAAGTTGATAGATTTAGTCTTTGGGATTCATCCAACTTAACAATTTAAACCTTAAATCTAATTGTCTTACAAATTGATTTCCGCAAATTACCATTTGGACCTTGGTCTAATACATTATTATTATTATTATTATTATTATTATTATTATTATTAATGTGCTTAATCAATATTTTAATTTAATAAATCTCATTTTAATTAGTCTAATTCGTCTATTTTCGTCTATAAATGTTTTTTATTTATTAACTCAACTTATTTCACCTTACAAGTCATGAAATCATTATCCGAATTATTTAGTAGCCCTATTTCAAAATAGCTAGAAAACGGGGCGTTATATTTATAAGCTAAAAACTTAGAACATAAACACACAAACACTAAATTTTTAGTCGGAAGGAACTTTTTAGCTGGCATTCGTTCCTTGATGTTAATCTAGGAGAAATAATTTGGGAGAATTTACGTGACATTATACTAAATGAATACAATTTGGGAGAATTTATGTGACATTATACCAATTGAGTCAGTTACCCCAAATATAAAGTTGAACTAGTTAGTCGATAATGTTTATAAATTATAACCTTTCGTTGACAGTTTCTGAAATGGTCACAACTCATAACTTATAAGTTCATTATTGGTATTATAGGAAGAACCCTTGTGATATTCCCACCGGCATAATTTGATTTGTTGTCACAACTCATAAGTATAAGAGAGCCTAATCCCATGATTAAGAGATTGACATCATTTAAATCTTCTTCTTTATAGTGTACGCTCCTTATATTTCATTCATGAAGAGATGATACATTCAAAAGTTAGTGGTGCTTCATCAGTTGTACATAAATTTCTACTACTAGAAATTAGTACAATATATTGTCGTCTAACAAATTGAAACTTTACAGTGGTGAGATTCGTCCAAAAATAGGATAATCATGTTCTTGATTCCCAATTGAAATCAACGTTCGACGACAAGAGTTTTATAGGTTTACGATTGCACTGCATAGCCACTGCTTGACTGGTTCTTAATTAGTTCGATCAAAAGGGAAACTCAATTGGTCAATCCAGTAAACGCAATTATGTCTCGAATTCTTGATTGTGATTTAAGGAACAACCGAAAGGACTACCTTAGAAAATAGAAATTAATCCTTCATAATAAAAGTTGATTCGTTCACCAAATTTTCTTCCTATACAAAAATTTGTGACGCAGAACGAAGGAAACAATAGAGAGAAACTCAAAGTATTTTATTACTAAAATTCAAGATTTCTATAAAGGCTTACCCTCTTTAGGATAATACTAAATTTTGTAGGTACAACCAAATTTGGAAAACTCAAATTGACAATTAATTCTAATAATTAACCTTCTAAATAAGAAAGTGAATTTCAGAAATTAAGGAAAAACGAATATTCTGTCATTAAAACAGAATAAAATAAAAATGAGAATTATTCGAAAATTAAGAAAAACAGAGATTTGGGGCCTAAACGGTAGAATTTGAGGGTCGACTGTGGGGAAGGTCGACTTGTGAGGAGCTCCAACTCGTCGATACCTTTCTGTCGATATATCGCACGCCTCAAAATTCCTTACGAATCAAAAGTTATGTTTGTATTAAGTTGGACCTCTTTTGGTCATGTTTGTGTTTTTCTCACTTGTCCATAAACATTTATGCCTGATCATCTAGGTGCTCCGCATCAATTTGTGATTTAAAATATTATATTATACAACTCTATGAAACATAAATTGTTGTTTACGAAGAAAATTCGTTGTATACGAATAACTTCCCTTCATAATATCAAGCCCCGATATATCCCGTATGCAGTTAAATTTCATCTTCAATACTCTAAATTATTAGACATGTTTATTTGATTTTAGATTTATAAAAGGGTATAATAACCAATTAATAAATATAAAAATTTGAAATATTTTAAAATGTTAGAAAATAGCGATATTGACGAATATGATATTTTGATGTTTAATTATCACATATTGACGAATATGATATTTTGATGTTTAATTATCACATGAAATTCCCTAGTTATATATAATCTCTTATTTTAAAAAAAATATTAAATAATGCATAATAGAGTTAATCAAATTTGTATTTTACTATTCTCTTGATTTTTAATAAATAAGTTTGTGGGTTGATGTTTTTATATATTGGTTGTTTGTTATTTGGAGATGGTTTATATCTTGGGAGCCGTATGATGACATCGGCTCCAAAATGTTAGATCTAGGTTGATTAATTTTTTTTAGAACAACGAAAAAGCTAGTAAAGCAAAGATTACATATTACATGATTTGAAGGAAGGGTGAAATGCCCCCATCAAATAATCAATCCAATCTAGATTAGGTATTTTACATTTATGCTTCACCGAAGAGAATAAACAAAATTTAATGTCATCAAGCTAAATTTTTTTCTTTAAGCTCCGTCTTTTTAACATAGACCTCATTTCTAGCCTTTCAAATAAGCCAAATCGTCGCTCAAAATCTGCATCCGAGTTGCTTGATATCTTGAAATCCACACTTATGGACAAAAAGAGAAGCAAGTTTAGATGGACAAGTTTATAAAAGGTACTTAGACATCAAGAGTATAAAAGGTACGTAGACAAAAAGAGAAGCAAATTTAGATGGACAAGTTTATAAAAGGTACTTAGACATCCTATTGACCCCTTTATAAAAAAACAAAAAAAACAATAGGATGAAATTCAATCCATGTCTTTGAAGTGGGTTAAGTATAAAGATAATTTCAGTTCTTTATATTACTTTGATTGGTGTTGTTCCATGTGTAACTCTTTTCTAGGTTCTCCCTTTTAATGCATGTCGACGTTCAAAAAAAAAAGAAAAAATATATATTTTTCTAATACACATAGAATATCTCCAACGGTCAGAAGATATCCAGTGGCATTGTTGTAGATCGAAAATGTGAGCTTAATTAAAGGTTCGAACAAACAGTCAACTTTCAGCAACACTAGACATCATGAATACTTCAGAACACCCATCTCTCCCTTTCCTCCTTCTAGTAGTACTACTGCTGCTACCCGCCGCATACTCCATCGGTGTCAACTACGGTACCCTCGGCGACAACCTTCCACCACCCTCTGAAGTTGCTCACTTCCTTAAAACCAGCACCACCATCGACCGCATCAGGATCTTCGATGTCAACACCACCATCATCAAAGCTTTTGCCAACACCGGCATCCTCGTCTCCGTCACCGTCCCCAACGGCGATATCCCTTCGCTTACAGACGCCCGCAACGCCCGCCGCTGGATCGATGCCAACATCAAGCCGTTCTACCCCGCCACCAAGATCAACTACATCTGTATGGGCACCGAGGTTCTCCACTGGGGCCCACAACCCCTCATCGACAGCCTTGTTCCGGCGATGAAGGTGCTCAATGCGGCACTCGTTAAAGAAGGGTTTAACGAGATCAAGATTTCTAGCCCACATTCGCTGGGTATACTTCTTTCATCGGTTCCACCCAGCAACGCTTCTTTCCGACCCGGATGGGATGTGGGTACTTTAAAGCCAATGCTTGAGTTCTTAAAACAAACAAAATCCGGGTTCATGGTTAACCCATATACATACTTCGGATACTCTCCGTCGAATGCCAACTTCTGTCTCTTCAAACCCAACGCCGGATTGTTCGACAAAGCTACCGGAATAACGTAATTAAACTTCTACTTTTGTTTTTAATCAAATTAAAACTTGAACAAAGCTACCGGAATAACGTAATTAAACTTCTACTTTTGTTTTTAATCAAATTAAAACTTGAACAGCTAGCTTTTTGAAGTTCAATTTTATTGATTTCGTTTATATTGGTATACTCAAAAGGTACACAAACCAGTTTGACCAACTGATGGATGCGGTGCACGTGTCGATGAAGAAGCTTGGTTACCCAGATGTGGAAGTCGTGGTGGCGGAGACAGGGTGGCCGTCAGGCGGTGACCCGGCGAACCTCCACGCTAATCCTGTAAATGCGGCAGCTTATATTGGTGGGTTGATGAAGAAAGTTAACTCCGGCGACGGAACGCCATTGATGCCGGGGCGGAAGTTCGAGACGTACATCTTTGCTTTGTTCAATGAGAATTTGAAAGGGCCGTCGTTGGATGAGAAGAATTTTGGGTTATTCCGACCCGATTTCACTCAGGTCTACAACGTTGGTATAATGCACGCGCCACAGGTAAACTTTTTCTCCAGCACTAGTTTGACCAAATTTGTCCTTTCACACGTTAGATTTTTACGTGGTGCACAGTAACCCAAATCACCGAAAGATGGATGCCCATGTGCCCTTGTCTCAAATTTTAAATTTTATCTTTTAACTTTTGTTTTTGTATTGTTATTTGTTATGTTCAAAAGTGGCAACAAATTCTTATGCCCTTTTGGAATATTATGGTGTACAATATTAAACAATTAGAATAAACTTTTAAAAATAAAATGAAAAGGTGTCGTGATTCAGTTGTGACGTTTAACATTGTTGACAAATGACGAATGTGCCCTTTGTGATCAGGCTCAAGCTCCGTCTCCGTCACCATTGGGTGCCGCCTCTGCTTCAGATGCACCTTCCTCCTCCGCGAGTCCGTGGGACGATGCTCCATTCTTTAATAAAAGCAAGCCTTTGACCGGCTCCCCAGTGCAAGCTCCACCCACTTCTTCTAACACCAACGCATCTGCCACCACAAATACCGCATCTCCTGGTGCTGCCAACCCGAATGTAAATTTTGCCGCCAAGTCCATGGCGGCTTTCATCTTAGCCATGATTTTGCTGGTGTAGGTTGTAACCATATTGTTCGGTCTTCATAACATTTTGGGGTTTTTGCGGCTTACTGGATTACTTGACGAAATTAGAGATCGTCATATATTTTTTTTACATAGAGTTGTAATTCGACATTTAAGATTGATGTTTGCATATTTATTAAGAACAGGCATCATCTGCGGTCTACGTGTATGATTTGATAAAATCCACTACAAATCTGTGCAGGTATATATTTGTAGTATATATGATACAAGATAATGACATAAGATAAATACCAACATTTATAGTATATATGATACAAGATAATGACATAAGATAAATACCAACATTTATAGTATATATGATACAAGATAATGACACACGATAAATACCAAAATTATATGGAATCCTAAGTCCGTCACTCCAAAATAATAAATAAATCGTCCAAACTAATAAATAAACCCTCAAGATATTTTTGATATCTTGTTGTTATCATTAATACACCCCACCCCACCCCACCCCAACCTTCAAGCGGATTGGCGGACCAACAGATAATTGAGATCGAAAATGCTCAAAGAGTGGCTTCGGTAAACTCTTGGTGAAAAATCCGCCAATTGAAGTTTGGTTGGAACAAACTTGGTGTAGAGTTTCCTGTATGTACCAATCTCACGAACAAAATGATAGTCAAGATCAATATGTTTAGCACACTTATGAGAGACTGAATTTTGACTCATAAAAATAGCATTTTTATTATCACAAAGAAGAGTAGGTCTTTTCGGAGGCAAAATATGAAGTTCCTTGAGAAGATGAGTAACCTAGACAATTTATGCAGTTGTATTAGCCATGGCACGATACTCTGATTCATAGCTGGATCGGGACACAGTAGGTTGTTTCTTTGCACTTCATGAAACAAGATTTCCTTCAAGAAAGATCGAATAGCCATAGGTAGAACGTCTTGTTTCAATACAACATACCCAATCAGAATCAACATCAGAATAACCAATAATAGATGGCACAATAGAGTGACGAAAGGTTAGACCGTACGGGATAGTGCCTTTTACATACCGGAGAATGCGTTTGACAGCTTGAAAATGATCCATAGTTAGAGCGTGCGAAAATGATCCAAAGTTGGAGCGTGCAAAAATTGACTAACTTGATTAATTGCATAAGACAGGTCCGGTCGTGTAATAGTAAGATATTGAAGAACACCAACCAGAAAGCGATACGTGGCTTGATTATTAAATGGAGTTCCAACAGTAGTGAGATAATCAGTAGTAGAAAGTGGAGTAGCAATTGGTTTGGAGCTCAAAAGACCGACTCGAACTAGCACATCATGGGCATACTTGGCTTGACTGAGAAAAAGACCATCAGCATTGTAAACAACTTCAAGGCCCAAAAAATAGCTAAGCGGACCAATATCTTTGATTATGAATTCCTGATGAAGGCGAGTAATAAAGTTCCTTATAGAGATGGGTTATTCCTTGTAAGAATTAAATCATCAACATAAACCAGCAGATAAAGTGTACTGGCACCCGTGTGAAGAACATATAGCGAAATGTCAGCACAACTGCAAGTAAAACCAAGGTGAATGAGAAAACCACTTAAGCGATGAAACCAAGCGTGTGGAGCGTGTTTAAGGCCATATAAAGCTTAATTGAGATGAAACACATGATCAAAGAATTTTGGATCAATAAACCCCAGAGGTTGCTCCATAAAAACAGTTTCAGTGAGCTGCCTATTTAAAAATGCATTTTTAACATCCACTTGGTGAAGTGACCATTTGTGGAGAACCGCAAGAGATAAAACAATATGAACTGTTGAGGCTTTAACAACCAGACTGAAGGTAAGAGATTAATCAACTCTCGATATTTGAATGAAGCGTTCAACAACTAGGTGTGCTTTAAAGCAGTCAACAGAACCATCAGAATGGTACTTAATGCGAAAAACCCATTTTGATCCTACAATATTAGAAGTTGTAGACCTAGGGACAAGGACCCAGGTGTTATTGGAGTTCAAAGCTTGCATTTCTTCTTCCATTGCAGTAAACCATTTGGGATTTTTGGTTGCACTTTTAAAACCTTTTGGCTCTTTATTTGAAAATAGAGCAAGATGAAGTTGGTTCTGTTGAAGTTGCACAAAATCACCAATATACATTGGTTTAAAAATACATGTGTGTATCCTTGTAACCATTAGATGTGTCGATTGAGTAACAGGAGCTTGGGTTGATGGAGCTGCTTCCTCGACATCATGGGATGGAGCGGATTCAGTGACAACAGGAGGTTGCGTTGTCGGTGGTGGCAGGGGAGCATCAGTTGGCAATGGTGGGTTCGGAGGTACAGTAGTACACAAGGGACATGTAGATACGTCATGTGATACATCACACTAATGTGTAGTGTAACACCCAAAAATTTAATGCCAAATTAAAACTTTTTCAAAAACATTTAAAACCATTCGTCATTACAAAGTTTGTTTTCAAAATATCTAATATCAGAGTTTTCCCAGAAACATAAACAAATCACGAGGAGCTGTACGATCATGCATTCGCCTTGCCGCAATCCCCTAATGTACCTGAAACAATAAACTGAAACTGTAAGCTCAAAAGCTTAGTGAATTCCACCAAAATACCAACGCCATACCAATATAACCACTACAAATAACAATTACAGATCAGCATGCATAATGAGCCTTCAGCCTGACTGGACCGCCTCACAGGGCCTACAGCCTATCTGGACCGCTCCCGAGCCTTCGACATGACTGGACCGCCTCGCAGGGCCTACAGCCTATCCGGACCGCTCCCCGGGTATGTTGGCCTACAGCACAAAGCAGGACCGCCTCAACCCAAGCCAATCAACAAACATGTGTACATAAATACCATACGCTAGCTCATATCATATAACAATCAAACCGATCTAACAGATCACTAATCATAGCAACATCCTAATAACCGGGATACAGACCTAACCAGTCACTAACATAGCATTATCCTATAACCAGGACGCTGACCTAACCAGGTCACTAAACATAAGCATACCATCATCCTAACTACCAGGATGTAATCAATAAACATATCATGCCATAATCCCGATACGATATATAAAGGGCCGGCCTTGGTGCCTTAGACCCTGTTGATATAGTGAGGATAATTCACCTTGCAAATGTCGACTCGAAAGATAAGCTCGCCCTCTCGAATCACTGCCGAAAACCCCACCACCTATAATCACCATACAACCATGTTCATAAGTTCCCAAAATGCCCCCAAAAGTCCAAAAGTCAACCCATGGTCAAAGTCAAAGTCAACTGCCAAGGTCAACAGCCCATGTTGACCTGAACTCGTCGAGTGCAACTAGACACTCGCCGAGTTCCTTGCATAATTAACCCTCTCGCCGAGTCACTCTACTGACTCGCCGAGTTTACGACAATATTCATTGGACTCGCCGAGTTGTTCATCCTACCCATCGAGTTCATGACCATCTTCATAAAACTCGCCGAGTCTACCATGCGACTCACCGAGTCCCTTCAATCCTCCATCCTTACAGGTGCTTTCTAAGCCATGCAAAGGCTCTATATTGCAGATCTAAGCTCCTAGGGCATGATTATCACGTAAAGTTGCAAACTTTACGTGCATGCAAGATGATAATGCCCCAAAACAAGCTAAAGGAGTGGCTTAAGGTAGAGAAAAGGTCATAGCTTGACAAAGACTGATACTTTATGACAAAGATGGACTAAAGGAGTCCAGATCTGAGGTTGCAAACCTCAGATCTTAACCCAAAATGGAGAACCACCTAAAAACCCCAAAAAGGTATCTAAACCCATAAATGAAGAGATCTAACTAAAGGAGAGTCAAGGTAGCAACTTGTTACCTTCAAAACAGAGCCAAAACAGAGAAGAATCCGGATCTACAACAGCCCCTTGCTTCAAACTTCTTGAACTCCAAGCCCCTTTTCTCCAAAGATTTCTTTCAAGATAAGAAGCACACAAAAATAGAGGGAAAGCACAATTAGGGTTTCTGAATTCGAGGGAGGCAGTAAGAGAGGTTAGGGGGAAACAAGTGTTCCTTAAATAGGGTGCAAAACCCCGGAAATTAGGGTTTCATCCTCCAGCTCCTACTCGTCGAGTCCCTTCTTGGACTCGACGAGCAGGTCACTAAAAACACGCGGACCAACCCGCTGCTACTCGACGAGTACGGCAACCAACTCGTCGAGTAGACCTTTAATCAAGAAAATTCTTATATGATGCGACATCGACCTCCGGCGAGTCTTCTGGTCTTCTGGTCTTCTGCTGCGGCGGAGATCTTGGTGAATATATCCGCCAATTGAAGTTTGGTTGGAACAAACTTGGTGTAGAGTTTCCTGTATGTACCAATCTCACGAACAAAATGATAGTCAAGATCAATATGCTTAGCACGCTTATGAGAGATTGAATTTTGACTCATAAAAATAGCATTTTTATTATCACAAAGAAGAGTAGGTCTTTTCGGAGGCAAAATATGAAGTTCCTTGAGAAGATGAGTGACCTAGACAATTTATGCAGTTGTACTAGCCATGGCACGATACTCTGATTCACAGCTGGATCGGGACACAGTAGGTTGTTTCTTTGCACTCCATGAAACAAGATTTCCTTCAAGAAAGATCGAATAGCCATAGGTAGAACGTCTTGTTTCAATACAACGTGCCCAATCAGAATCAACATCAGAATAACCAATAATAGATGGCACAATAGAGTGACGAAAGGTTAGACCGTACGGGATAGTGCCTTTTACATACCAGAGAATGCGCTTGACAGCTTGAAAATGATCTATAGTTGGAGCGTGCGAAAATGATCCAAAGTTGGAGCGTGCAAAAATTGACTAACTTGATTAATTACATAAGACAGGTCCGGTCGTGTAATAGTAAGATATTGAAGAACACCAACCAGAAAGCGATACGTGGCTTGATTATTAAATGGAGTTCCAACAGTAGTGAGATAATCAGTAGTAGAAAGTGGAGTAGCAATTGGTTTGGAGCTCAAAAGACCGACTCGAACTAGCACATCATGGGCATACTTGGCTTGACTGAGAAAAAGACCATCAGCATTGTAAACAACTTCAAGGCCCAAAAAATAGCTAAGCGGACCAATATCTTTGATTATGAATTCCTGATGAAGGCGAGTAATAAA